TGGCTGCTAGTGCAAGGTGATTGAGATGGGTAAGTGTCCACAGGAATTAGCAGAAAGGTAGTCACAGGTGGCATTGGCAAAAGCAGGTGAAATGGAATTTGGGGCATGGAAGACTGGCTGAAGAGGGTGATGGGGTGAGTGGGAGATGAAGAGCTGGGGCAACAAGAGGAAATGTGTGAAATTTTTCTTAAAGAATTGCTTACAGAGTGGTGAGAGGACAATATTGGATGCACATAATCAATAAAGATTGATAGCCATTTTTTATAGAAAGGATGGAAACATGAAGGAATGCAGAGCACAAGCAGTCATAAAAGACTTTGCAGGAAAAGAAATGTCTAAGTTAAGCCTGAGGGGGTAATTACCATTTGTCTAAGGAGAGAGACTTTTCGTAAAGAAGGAAGGAAGGAAGGAGGGAAGGAAGGAAGGAAAGAAAGAAAGAAAGAAAAAGAGAGAGAGAAAGAAAGAAAGAAAGACTCAGAAACTATTCATTACAACCAGACTATACTGTTTACTTGAACCCAAATTAGCCTGCACTGGTCACCTCTATATCTTTGTTCAATACTGTTCCCTTTATTCAGAAGATCCACACCCTTCAACAAGTCCTCATTCCTCATAGTCCAGAATGATCACCAAAGCCTCTAGGAATCTTCTATAAATGTATTTCTTCTCCTCTAAATGGGAGTAATCTCCCTTTGCTCCTTCTCCTGGGAATTCTCACAGTGCTGTGTTTGGATCTCCATTGTGGCATTTTTAATGAAGCCTCATAGCTCCTCAAGGAAAATTCCTTAAGGTCAGGGACTGTCTTTCTATTAGAAGCCATCATGATATTACTGCCAGTACTGAACATAGGTCCTTGCACTTAGCAATTCCTCCACAAATTCAATGGTTTTCCAAAGTGTGGTCTCAGGACTGCAGCATCAGCATGTCTGGGTACTTGTATGAAATGCTGGCTTTCTGTCTCCACCCCAGACTTACTCATCCAGAAACTCTGGAAGTGGGGCCAACAGTCTGCATTAACATTCCCTCAGATGGTGCTGATGCATTTGAGAACCACTGAGTTCACCGAATCTCTCTCTCTCTCTCTCTCTCTCTCTCTCTCTCTCTCTCTCTCTCTGGAATAGAAACTTGTAATTGCAATTCCATTATAAGCATTTCTCTTGATTATATTTGAAAACAACGATTTAAACTCAGCTTATCATTTTCATGTGCTTCTTTTTTCTCAGTGTATCATTTATGTCACAAATCTTTTGTTAGCAAAAGGAATTTGAGCAATAGAGACATGGTATCATGTGTTTGAAGGGATCCTAGTGCACCTGGCTTTAGTAGCATGCAAGAATTAAACATCAAATGATTAAGGTTTGAATTCACTGATGGTTAAATTTCCCCTTCTCCCTTTTCTTTCACTTTCTCCGTTGCTTTTCTTCCTGCCCTTACCTTTCCCTCTTTTCATTTTTCACATTTAAAGCTCTTCTTGGTTATAGTTTTCTGAGATTATACACTTTGGAGAAAAGATGCTATAAAAGCCTTAATAAGCCAGATCCAAATAAACATTTGCAATTAAAAAAAAAGAAAGAAAGAAAAACAAAGCTTTCCCAACAAGTTCAAGTGAATTAGACAGGAAATTGAGAATGAGTGGGGAAATATCCCATTTGCTCACATTCTTTCAGCAGGCCTTCACTTCAGAGACAGGACTTCATTCAACATAGAGAGACTTATTTCCTTAGAGTTGAATTCATTTCAAACCATTCCAGGCATCCTTAGTAAATTTCAGCATTTACTGCAGGTGTCGGCTTCCTATGGAGCAGAAAGCTGCTCTGAATTTCCGCCAAGAATTTTTGACTTTTTTTTTTGTCTCCTTGGCTCTAGGTGATGATCAGACAAGCCCTGTGCTAGGCAAAGGTGTGACAAATGCACAGTAAAGATAACCCAAGCCAGCAGTCATCCTTAATTGACAGTCTGCTCTTTGCTTAATATCTCAGAATTTCCCATCAATCCTAACATTTCTATCCAGTTGTGAGTAAGATGTTGTTTGCACACATATATATGAAGCATACATATGTATGAAGCATACATATCCTATATGAGTGTGTACATGTCTATGTGTATATAACATGTATATGTGTGTATAATGCATATATATACATCTATAATGAAGACTAGTCAAAGAGAATTTCAATACCTTAAAAGGTGTGCCATTGAAAGGTTTTTGATTCACTGTAATGAATGAACAAGATTCAGTCTTGATAAAAATCTCATAATCTCTGCGTATAATACCTGTGTATTTTTAATGCATATAATACCTGTGTATTTTTAATACCTAAAAAGGGTTGGGACTAAACATACAACCACAGCATACCCATACTTTCCTTTGTAAATACAGCATTCATTGAGGTAGACATTTTCTCATGCAGTAGGAACAATACACATGAGACTTGCATTTTATAATAAAGACTGGTTAAGTCCTTCCTCAAATCTTTTAAATATTTGTGAAAATAGAAGGTGATATAAGGATTTGGAAGATAGCTCTCCCATATCCCAATAAAATAGAAATATAAAGATCTTTCTTCCCTATAAATATCTTCCTAGTTTTGATGATTGTGTTTCAAGAAAACATTGAATTATACATGAACTTGATCTTCAGGAAGTGTAGTCCATATCTAAAAGATACTGAAAGGTAAAATTCTTTGCCCTTCGTAGTCTGCTGTATCTTTGCCATATCCAATTGGATTGAGTTCATTAATTAACTGGCAGTTAAAGTAGCAGGAGTCCTAGAAAAGAAGGGAAAGTGAGTTTTGATTACCTTCTGTTCCAAATATATAATGACTTCTGTCAGAAAGATTCTCTTAAAAAATGAAACTCATGTAGTATCTGACCTTGCTTTCATTGTGTGACTTCTAAGGGGTCAACTATAAAAGAAAGATGTCCTACTTTTAGCTCTCAAAATTTTAATGTCAAGATTATCATAAATTACTTTTCACTATGAAAAGGACAAAAATAGTACTATTTTTCTCCATGCTAAAAGTCTTAGTTTTAAGACAGGACTGTAGTCTTTGGAGACTGGACAAGGGACTGGGTTTCGATCATTTGATGTACGCAGTTGGGACACTTGTTTTCTTCTCTAGTTTGGACTTGCTACTTGAGTTACATCTAAATATCTAACATACCACACCATTCCAAAAATCCCTAAAAAATTTGGTGGGTGATGCTCACTTACAAATAAGTATGACACATGAGAGACTTTACAGAGAAGAAGAAAAGTCTGAGTGCTTGTATGACACAGTTTAGGTAGGAGAAACAGAAAGCCAGGATTTATTTTTGTTCTCGACAGTTTCCTGAGCGTCTATGCTCAGTACTCAAGAAAAACAAACCCTCATCTACAAACCAATCCTATTGAGGTGAGGTACTTTTGTCCCTGTATCCATCTCTTCATCTAACTCCTGATTCCATGCCCTTTGCCAGAATTCTGTTTTCTTTAAGTTTAAGAGGAGGAAAGAGAGAGTTCCTTAGCATCATTCTGAGTGCCCAACAGTCACCAATGCCAACCAGATGTTTTGTTTCACCATGACTAGCACTGCCCTAGATGGTGATTTTCAGGTTATTCCCACACAGTCCTTCTCTAGCTCTGAGGTCCCCACTGGCCACTTCTGCTCCAGCAGAATCTCTGTTGGATTATACTGGTATTTAAAAACCCAACTCATTAAAACAGATTTAGTTTGCTCGTTTATTTCTTCTTCTCCTTGTTATCATGCTAAAATTTTCTTACTTGTTATGAACGCCGCAGTTTTTAATCTCCTCTGAATGCTTGTCAGAAAGTGCTGGGGAAGACTTGACAGGAAATAGTTAAAATTTCTTCCTGAGACATGAAGGAAGTGTATGGAGCTAAGACAATTTTCAGTCTGTGGCCGAAAGTCTGAAAACTTAGGGGTTGTAAGTTACCCTGGTGTAAGTTTCAGAGTCCAAATTCCTGCATGTAAAGGAAAAATAGTTCAGAATAGCTGTGAACAGTGCCTCTTCTCTGCTGGGCACTAAGCTACCCAAGCTAGTTTTTTTCATAGATGATTTCATTTAATACTCATCTAAGGTAACCATCATTCATTATTAAGCCCTAATTTATAGACAAGGAAACTGAAGCATAGCAAGTGTAAGTTACAGGTTCAGAGTCACAGAAGTAGTAAATAGAATAGGCAGATTTTGAAAACATGCCAAAGCATGAGCTGTTTCTAATAAGCTACATTTCCCAACTGAAAGATTACCTCTAAGCATTTTTTATTTACATAATTTTATTATAGTAGATTGTTATAATTGATCTATTTTATTGTTCTTTATTTAATGTTTTTATTAGGGCATACTAGTTGTACAGAGGGGTTCATTGTGATGTTTCCATATATGCATACTGTGTATCTCAGTTTGGTTCATCCCTTCCATTATTCTCCCTCTTCTTAAAATAACTTTGACAGGTGTCAGTGTGTTATGTTTGTATATATGTAGAAAATACTTCAACCATATTCACCCTCCTTTACCCTCTTCATTTATCCTCCCTCTCCCTCTAATATTCTCCCTTTAATATGATCCGTTTTACATTCTCGTCTTTCATTGTTGAAGTGGCTGTTCATTGTTCAGTGGGGTTTCGCCTTGGTATTTTATCTGTAAATATATTATACTCTAGTCAGTCTAACCCCTCTAAGTACTTTTAATGTAGTTCTCAGCCTCGAGCTACTTTGGCCATATCTGGGAACATTTTTGGTTGCCCAACGGATGGGGGATGCTCCAGGCATCTTAGAGAGCAGAGGCCAAGGACACTGCTAAACATCTCACAACGCTCAGAACAGCCTGGCGCAGCGAAGCCTGTCCACAGAGATCACAGACGTCATCACAAAAGTCGACAGTGCTGAAATTGAGAAACCTTGATGCAAAGGACGGTGGATTTTTAAAGCCACTTCATAAAAAAGTAGATTGCTTTATCTATGCCTCACTTTTGCGCACATTATGTCCCATCACAGATGACAGCAGCCTTCTGAATCTAACTCCCTACCCCTTGGTGAGAAGACGGAAGAGAAGATTCTTTGGGCTATGTTGTCTCGTCTCAAGCTAGGCAGATCCTCCTGGCAACCCACCACTAGAAACACCTGAGAAAACATCCCAAAACCTGAGGACCTCCACCCAGCTGAACCACACAGTGATTGGTATTTGACTATGTTTTCTATGCTCCCTTATTTTATCTGCCTCTCCCTACCCTTTTAAATGATTTTACACTTGAAAGCAGCTGCCATAAAGAAAAAAGAAGAGATTCAAAAAGCAGGCTGTTTTTAAAAGGATTTTTAAAGCTGACACTGTACATGTTTGCCCCAAACCATGCCATGACAGATGCAAGAATTATGATTTTTAAATTATTTAAGGGTTTTTTAAATGTATTATACAGAGAAAAATTATTTCACATATAATAGTATATCCATAGCTCTTGCTGATCTCATGATAACAATTTGTCATATATGAAAGAAGTCTTTAAACATAGAAATCTATTTAAAACTGCAAATTGTGTTCAAAAATCGAATAACCAATATCATTAGAAATATTATAATCAAACATGTATCACCTCACCTATTGCTCTCTCTGCACTCATTTACATTTAGTCTTCCAGTCTGTCAGAATCTAAAGGCTTCAACAAAAAAATCTTAATTTATAATGCAACAAAGACCATATGTGAAAAATGCTTACATTTTGTAAATACACAATAATCCTATTACCTTCGTACAATGCATATGGGCAACTATTCCCTTTTGATCCAATGGTGTCTTTTCAGCTTCTTGGAGAATGAAGTTACCCAGTTAGGAAATGGTGTAGTAACATATACAATTACCCTCAGATGTAAAATTGAATATTATCACATTTTGTTCTAATCAAAATCTGAAGCATGATGTCTGCACATCAGCATAGTGTTAAATCTTATAGGGCATGCTGGAATTAGCTCAGATCGTAAAAATATTTAACATTTTACATTATAATAAAACTATTTTAGTTATGCTAAGCTTGTCTCATTTTAGATGACTATGCACATATGACTTCTCTAATGTGTACTTGGTGTCTTGTCTTATGCTTAGACTCTTGAAAGCTGGACACATTAAGCAATACTGTACTTAAGAAAGGAGGAAACCACATGCTTTGTTTTTCTGCTCACGGCTTTGTTGTGGTCCTCCTCTATTAAACTTGTGGCAAGGTACAAATTTTGTTACATTTTCCCCTGTTCTTACCATTTTCCAGAAAGAATTTCCCATGGGTTGACAAATCAAGTCTTTGCACTTCTTTTCTTGTTTTACATAGTCTGAAAAATCTTCAAGTCAGAGAGGAGTCACCAGTGTCCAGTATAGTAGAAAGCTGAGCTAGAGGTCTATAAGTGGTTTATTCAAGGCATGTCTTTAATCCCAACGCTGCAGAGGCATTTATATGTACACTAATGTCTTGACCTAAAAACTAAATATATGAAAGCCTTTAGCTTTAGGGAAGATGAAGAGAGTGAATATTTGTTGCGTTAGGTTGAATTATATGAAATTGCTGGTTTTGACTGTTTCGACCTACAAAAATGGTGGTTTCATATAGTTCAACCTAATATTTGGTGTGGAAATTATACACTACTCGGAGTTGTCTTCTAGCTTTTGAAAATGAAAGAATTAAAGGGTTGGTAGAGCTCACAAAGATGAAGACAAGTCTCCATTTTGATTACACCAGCTGCTTAGTGGCCTTATCCATGGCGTCCAGAGTTAGTTCCAATGAACCAGTAATTAACACACGGTTATAGGTGTGCATACTACAAAATAAGTACATTTGACAAGTTATATGAGACAAATGACATTTTTAAAATCAAATACCTGCAAAACAGTTGTGGATATATGTTATTTAAAAACTCTACTCCCTTCCAAAGCATGAAACCACTTCTAGACTCACCTACCCTACCAGCCTTGATTTCCATAAATCAAACTTGATTATAGCTTAATATTCTTTCCTGAATTTGGTTCATTTTCATCCCCTGAGGTTATTTCATTTATAGGTCACTTTCAAAATTATGAAATAACCCAAATTGGCATGCCCTCTGCTCCCATCTCTGCCTTCTCCCACTCTTCCACTGTGTGATGAATCCTTAAGCTGCAATCTCTTTCCTAACTGATAAGGCCAACCTTGGATTCAGCACATTCTCTGAAATGCCTGACCTAAATCACTTCTGCTTGATTAATTTGTGCTCACTCTCACTTAGTCTCAGTGTGAAAGTAACACCTTCTGTGCAATTGTCCTTTGTAAAACTGAAGACTGTTAATAAATTCAAGTCTCACCTCCATGTCTGGGAAGGCTATAGTAGCTATTCATGGAGATGGGAATTTGTCTAATTACCTAGCCAGACTTCCCATATCTAAGGTAATATATTTAGCCACCTTATCTTTTATTCAGTGCCTGTTTTCCAGCCTTCGATCAGTTTTATAGTTCCCGTAGACACACTCCAAGATTTATAGATGTTCTTTCAGTAGCAGGTCCTAAAATTACATTTAGTACTCAAAGTTCTGATATCTACATTGGCTCATGGTTGCAATAGGTGACTCACCACTTCCCATGAGATATGTCAGTGACTCCTTTAGGAGCTGCCCCTCTCTCCTCTCACCTGCCAAAGGACTTTCTCAGGTGTGGTTCCATGAGATACAGTTCTGTTGTGTTGGTTCTCATTGGTAATTGGGTTTCAGATTAACAATATCACTTGGCTGATATTGCTAATATCAGAAAAAGAATATTGAACCTATTTTCTCATGTGTGTCCACATGTTTGAAACAGAAAAGGAAGAACCGTTTTGTGGCACATACTCATTTTAACACCATACTTTTAATATCCCATGTTGACTTTTTTTTCCATTTAACAAAGAATTTATGTTTTTGTTGAGAAACCTGAAAAATACCACCACATATATGGAAAATAAAAATTGCCTGAACTCTACTGCAATCATAATATTTAAAACCACAATTCTGGGCTTTAAATAAATAAGGGGGTAGGCCCTAGGCATTTTTAGATAAAATACATGAAATGCCCACAAGGCCAAAGTGTCACTTTAAAAATCTGACCAGTATTGTTTTCTATACATTTAGGTGCAAAGTCATGGCAAACTTCTGGTTATGCCATTGTTTAGGGGTGTAAAGAAAGCTTTAGCTGTAGCACGGTCCTGATGCCTCCTCTAATGAATAAAAGCTTTCGGAGAAATTCTAAAATCCTGCCACTATGTCACTCCGTGCTCCTGTAAAAAAAGAGTTGGGTGCTCAGTGCTTGGCAATACTGCCACCTACTGAAAGCTAAGCTTCAGAATGAGAGCACAGATACCAGTATAAAATCGAATGTATTTTAGAAAGCAAACAAATGGGCAGATGAACAATAATACCATCTGGAATGTCACACTATGAAAGTCCCAAACTCAGGACATCACCTGTCCTGACTTCCTACCCCCACCCCACCCAACCACACACACGTACACAACACACATGTCTCAGAAATATCTATCATTTTCTTTTGTTCTAGAATGTTACCAAACAAAAGTGTTCAACTTTCAGGTAACTATAGGTAGAATGAGAAAAATGATTACCACTATTGGCCACAGACCCATTGACCTAAGAACATAGAAAATTTAAGTACATTATAAAGATGACATTTCAAATCGGAAAAATGGCTAGATTATTGAATAGATAATTTTGAGATAACCAACTAGCCATTCAATGGGAGAAAAATTAGATATATACCTCCTACTTTTGCCCAAGTAAATTCTAGATTAAATAAAGATTTAAATGTTAAAGTACATAAACATACAAAAGGACTAGTGGGCAATATAGATGAACATGTAATTTTCTCATACCTTTTTTTTTGGTGGTACTGGAGTTTGAACTCAGGGCATGTAATTTTAGTGTGGGAGGAAAAAACCTTTCTAAACATAATACCAAAGGAAGGAACTATAGAGTAAAGATAGATGAATTGGACCAATTAAAAAATGCAAACTCCTGTATAAAAAATAAATCAAATTGAGAGAAAATAATATCTGTAACATAAGCAACAAAGAGTTAAGAGCTCCCCAACTTTTAACACATCTCTATATACAAAGCAATTAATGAAAACATTGAATGAGTGAATAATGAATGAAAGGCATAAATGATATCTTATGACTCAAAAAGAATCAAACTCTCCAGTAGAAGACTGTCTGAGGATATAAAGGGGCAATGCACTATATCCTAAAATGATTCAGTAATAATAAATATGAAAGTATTTGAATATACTAGTAATAAAAATGCAAATTCATATGATAAGCTCCTTTTTTCATCTCAGAAAGGCAGAGTGTAAAGAACTCAAGTTCCCAGGAACAACAAGGGAATATGGAAACTAATATTCCCTTGTGGTCTACAGGAGTATAAACTATAAACATTTCCAGAAAATATTTTCATCCAATATTCTACTGCATGTCCAGTGATTCCACTCTACAGAATTTCTTCTTTTAAAAGGTCAGAAAAAAAATAACTAAGATGCATTTATTCATTATATTTAAAAATTATGCAAGAGTGTCTTATAAATAAGCCTGCATTCGATTGTTAAATATGGTATAGTCTTTCAATGGAATACTGTGCACTGATCAAGAATAAGTGCCAAGCATATTTATTGAAATGTGCAAGCTATATTGCTAAGTGAAAAAAAAGCAAGTTATAGAGAAATATAGAGTATGGTTCCTTTTTTAAAAAAAACATACACATATGTATGTGCATTAAAGAGTCTGAAATGATATTTGCCAAATAAATAGCAGTATTTCTCTCTGGAAGGTGAGATTTGGAGCATTACATTTTCTTTGTGCATATCTGTAACTTCTGATTTTTCCACAATGAGCATGTAGTATCTGTATAATTTTTTCAGGGAATAAACAATGATGTTCACAATATATATTAAATAAAAAATATGTTATAAAACAGTATGTATAGTACAATACAATATTTGTAAAAAAAGAAAATTATATATAAATGTATCTATGTATGTATATATATGCATAGGAAAGCTAGAAGGACATACACTACAATGTTAATAGCAGTTATCTATGGGTAGTGGGATTATGGGTGATTATTTTTTCTTTTTGCTTTCTGTGTTTTCTAATTTTTCTACAACAAACATGTATTACTTGTGTAATAAAAACTAATAATAAAAGTTTTAAAAATATGTAAAAGTGAGAGACATTTTGGATCACTCCTTGTCCTCCTCCTCCTCCCTTACCTCCACTCCTACCCTTACTTGGCTTATTTACTATTGTTAACATATGAATAATGGGATATGGAGAAGAAATGCCAGGGCAGCACAACTTTTGGAGATAGAAGAGAAAGAAGCAGAAAGAGTTGTGGAAAGAAAAGAGGGAGGGAGGAAGGGAGGGAAGGAAGAAAGGAAGGAAAGAGAGAGAAAAATTATTAAGTGCAGTCAATAGAGGAAAGATTAAAACAGGCTTTGTCCCTAGTAACAAAAGCAGCATGGTACTTCCACAAAAACAGATACATAAACCAATGAATTAGACTAGTGTCCTAGAAATAAGCTCACCCAGCTACAGCCTCTGATTCTTGACAAAGGTGCCAAAAACATGTGTGGGACAAAAGACAACCTCTTCCACAAACAGTGCTAAGAAAACTGGATATCCACACTCAGAAAACTGAAACTAGATCCCTCTCATCCCATATAAAAATTGATTCAAAATGGATCAAAGACCTTAATGTAGAACCTGAACTTTTGAGAATACTAAAGCTAATAGAAGGAAAAAACACTTCAAGATATAGGGAATGACTTTCTGCACAGGGTTCCAATAGCTCAGGAAATGACAGCAAGAACTGACAAATGGAATTGCATAAGTTAAAAAGCTTCTGCACAGCAAATGAAACAATTAACACAATAAAGAGATAGTCTACAGAATGTAAGAAAGTGTTTGCCAGCCATTTGTTGGACAAGGATTAATATCCAGAATATAAAAAGAACTAAAAAAAAAAGTAAACATCCAAAGAACAAATAATCAGTAAACAGGGAAATGAATTGGACAGAGTTTTCAAAAGAAGTGCAAGTAGCCAATAAACACATGAAAAAATGTTCAACTTTCTTAGCCATCAGGGAAATGCAAACCATTAAGTACACTGAGATTCCATCTCATCCCTGTCAAAATAGCTATCATCAAGAAAATAAATAACCAGAGATTCCAAGATGGTGGCTAGAGGGAGGAAGCAGAAAGTGTGCTTCCTAAGGCAAAATCTTGGAGAGGCACTGGAGATACACCTTACAGGAAAAACCACTGAGAAGAGGCAAAACTTTGATTCTTGCACACCTCCAGCCTGAGCATAGCATCTCCACTTCACATTAAATGGAGAAACCAGGAGGGCCCCTGGGCCGCTGCCAGATGGCAGCACCCAGATGGCTTGGGAAGACACGGACCACAAGGTGAGCTAAGTGGCATGTGGTACTCCCACAGACAACCCTGGACCAGATCAGCATAGCCCCCTGGACAGACTGACACCCACCCAGGGAAAAAAGAAAAAAAAATGAATAATAAGCAGTAACAACAAAAAAGACACATAGCAAAGAGGACAGGGCACTCTGAGCACCGAAGAGGGAAGGAAGGGGCAATCCCTCACAACAAGCCAGCTGGAGAAGGCAGGAGCAGTGGCACACACTCAGCAATCAGGAGCAGGAAAGCTTGTAAAACTGGCAGTGTGAGGAAAACTCCACAAGAGAGGGGGGAGAAGGCCCACTTCCCAAGTGAACTGTAAATAAACACGCAGGCCTGAGAAAGCTGGAGCAGTGTCACCTCCCCCAGTGTGCTTGGAAAGGGGAAAGCTTGTAGCAGCCGCTAGCGCACAGAACTCTAAGTAAACAAAGCCTGTGGGCCTAGGTGAGTGTTAAGCTCACTCCTGAGATCTGCATAAATAACGCCTCCAGCAACAGCAGGCTGACAGCAGTGGGCAGGCAAGCCATAGCTCCAGATACCATTCACAGAACTGTCTCCAGACTCTTTTTTTTTCCCTCTCCCTTCCTTTGATGAGACAACACTGAACTACACCTGCATGCTAAAAAACTTACTGAAACTGTATTGCATTTGAACTTGGGACACTTTGTGGTGTTTTTTTTGTTT